GACCACCAGCAGTAATATCAACCCAGCGGTAGTAAATGTAAATAAAACTTTATAAATTTAGCACATTCGAAGCGCTTTTCTGGATTTACTTTTACCCATAAGGAGTCCATAAACTCAAAAATTTGAAAACCAGTGATGATAAATACTGATACACACCAAAAGTTTCGTTGTATACCTTAATGTAGTTGTAAATCACCATGAACCACAACATATATATCATATGACATGTCTGCAGGTTTTGTTTTTTAAAGATCTCTTCAAGGATACCAGGCTTATCATTTTGTATACGTCAGACGCGCGTTTCGTCTATACAAAAGACTCATAAGTGACGCTCGAACCAAAAAAGTTAAACGACCAAATAAAGTACGAAGTCGAAGAGCATTGCGAACACAAAATTCGAAAAACTTTAATTTTTCATTAAGTCTTAAAAGGTTATTCATTATTTTAAGTCATAGAAGACAGACTTTGGGACAAGAACACCAACATATAAAAATGACTACAGTTCGAATAGGTTGGTAAACCCAATTGCCATCATAAGTGCCATGAGATCTAAATTTATAAAATTTTACCAAAAACTATTTGGAAAGGTCTTATTATGAACACACTGTGGAAATGATACACACGCGCTTGCTCTAGAGATTAATGAAATACTTTTCAAATATAGAACAGAAAAAAATCAGAGAAAAATCCTAAAATTCATGATTTTTTTTGTGACTTTAACAGAGCAGCAGTCTTTTCAAAAGACTGTGTTTTAGATAAAGAAAATTATTGATCTTGTAAAAAAAAACATATTTTATTTTTAGCCATACCGTGTTATGATCTGTGAATATTACCATGGAAATGCTCAAGTCCAGTTACAGAATGTGAGCTGGATTTTGGATCTGTTGTACTGAATGAGCTGTTATGAATATTCTTTTTCTTCAGAAATATTGAGATAGCCATGATGACCGTGACAATGGGTTAGATTTTCATATTTGACCCCAAACATTAACTATAATACAGGGTCATGTGCATGCTCCTCTATGTCACTACATATATATAAGTTTTACGATCACCATCACGAATTCGTTGACCGATACGATGTGTCGGTGTCTCAATTATTTTGGTCTTGGATCTTTCGATACCAGTATATTCGTCAGATCTTTCATTTGATCGATTGTGTCCTATTCCCGATTGTGACAAAACTTAATATACATGAATTCACAAGGCGGGTGATGCATGCATGTCAGGAGACGTTTACCTTGTCGACGCACCCGGTCTAGTTCCTTTTGGAGTTCATGCGATTCCCTCGTTTTCTGTTAGTAATCTTGACTTTTCTATTCCTAATCGATTTACAATTTGAACATCGGCAAACTATCATCGCCTTAATTTACCAGAAAGTTGAAAACCAAACATATATATAACTCCAATCTTTTTTACTGACTTAGTTACATATAAATCATAAATTCACCCTTTAGAATTAGTTGAAGAAAAAATAAAACACACAGATATTAAAAAACATATATTTGTATATTTTATAGGAAGTTTGAAGTTTTGGGCTTATCGGATTTGCGGGAATATTTTTTCCAAATACAAATGAACTGTCATATTGTGTCATAGCAGGATTAATTCACTTGCTGTGTTAAACTGGCAAATTCTTGCACCATTAGGAATAGAGAGGAATGCGTGAAAGAATGCAATAGATTGGTTTAGCTACCTTTAAAAAAAAATTCTATGCGACAGAACTCCAGTGATGAAATAATAAGATCGATTAAATGATTATTGCTTAACCTTCCACTGCAATATACTAGCTATATCGCGATGGATGTTTGAAATATAAACAATTAATATCAATTTCAATGTGCACTTGAAGGTCTTGAACTGACGAAAAACTGCCAGATCTGTTCAATATGAGTTAATAGATTACAATCAAATATATCGACTGGCATATAACTGCTCAGATTTTTCCTTCAAATTATCTATCACATCTTCCACATGCAGCTCCTGACGACACTGATAAAACTATGAAGTCGATATCAAATTATACAGCTACATAGAATGTCACTTTTCGGTGACTGAGGTAATGTTTGAAACACCAAAATAAATAGGCTATATGTTTTTATTTTTGCTTTACAATGGTATTATAGATATTTTTAATGAAACTGTTATTAATTCAATAGACCCCCATGAACAAAGTTTTTGGGAAAAAAACGAATCACCCTCTCTGTCTGTCCATGTGCCTTGTAATCACAACTCGAGAGATATTGATGAAATTTTACACAGTTGTCGAAATTACCTGAAGATGTGTATATAGAATATAATTCTGGTCCAACGTTATAAAGGGGAGATAAACACCTTACTTACTTCAGTATATTGCAATGTGTGGTAATAGTCTCTTGTATGAACAGCTTGACAGTTAGTGTTGAAACTTTATACGTTGTAGAACAATGCCTTAGGATGTGCATAAAGGAATATCATCCCTGTCCTACATGTGAAAGGACACCCTGTCTAGAAGACTGTAAAATTGTTTCTGTTTGGTCTCTTTTTTTGTAAATTTTTATACTTATTTCTATTTAAAATATATTAATTGAATTGCAGGGCGGAGTATCCATTTGTAAGTTCTAGTTAATTTTGCTTTCGTTTTTTATGACTTTTAATTAATGTCCTAAAGACACGTTATATATATAGCACGCCTTTTACGAATTAACGCATTTAATTCACGAAAAGCGTAGCTTTGAGTGGATTAAATATTTTAAAGTAGGGTATGTTACAATTCTGTCTTTATGCATGTTGTTCATAGGTCGTCGTCCCAAACTGGATGAACTGAATTATTCTTATCCTATGTTTTCTGGTTATTACATTCCAAAAACAAAAGAAACAAATATACTTTGAAAAAAAAGTTGTTTTGTGCTGAAGTTTTGTGAACAGTATCACTTTTAATCGCAAATGAAAAATAAAATGTAAAATGTCACTTATTTATTCTATCAGACGCTTGATAACAAATGAACAAGTTTCGGTTTTCCATTCTCGTGATTCTTATTAGTTATTTCAAGAAAAGTTCAATGTATGTCTTTCGTTTTTTATTAAATAGTTGCAATATTTAAATGATTCGAAACATAAACGCAGTGGTCTAGGGAATAGTTGACTATTGGATCTTAACATTTTTTTGTTTCCCGCCAAAATGACCGACTACAGTGAGGTTTTAGCAAAGAGTTGTTTTGCTTTGGTTACGAGCGCAGTGATACGCAATTGTTTGCTTCGTTAATCCAAACAACGCGAATAATTCAGACCTTCTCCATAATCGATCTATCCAATCTGATTAAAATACAGATCATGTGTGTAAGCTACGCTTACTTTGACACAGGAACGGTATATGAATCAGATTGCGATCTATCGTACTTGCAACAATGTAGTTATCGTAGAATAGCGGAATATAACTAACATCTTAATAATATACAATTACTGTCTTTTGGTGAGGTAAAGGGGATCGACATAAAAAATAACTTTAGTTTGGTAGTATGTTAGGCATACTTGAAACAGAGCAACTATTGCTCATGAACATTCATGTGTATAAATAAATAACTACGTACTTATTGGCTATGCGAATACACCTGTATACCCTTATTTCGACATTGACTTCAAATATAAAAAAGTGGAAATCGAAGGTTTTGCGTTCTGCAACACCTGCTTCAACTGAGTTAGCCCAACACGTCCAATCTAAATTCACTTAAATGAACAAAAGGTTGAAAGTTAACACTGGGAGCTAAAATGACAAACTAGTATGCCCTTCTTCATAAGTAGAGTTTTGTTACAGATCAAAGTACTTAAAGTGCTTAAAGTAGGTCTGATCATCATTGTTTCCTGCTTAATAACCCTTTTGATGAAACAAAACTTGGTCCTAGATTATTTGACCAGCAAATTAGGTATGATCAATTATTTAACCATTAACTAAATTGATACCCACTGTAAGAGAAAAGGGCATCTTAATATACATATTAAATAATGATTTAATAGTTAACTGGATATATATACATACTTTAAAACTGGGTGAACAATAAATTGGACTTGGAGAACTCATTTTTGTCTCCGTAGCTTATATATAGTTATTGCTTGTATGTTTTCTTTACTTAAATTCAAAGTAAATACAAACTAGATACATGCATTTTTGGTTACATTTTTGTTGAAGAATTTTCGGATCGTTACATTGATGCAGATTTCCCCTAAACAATCACTTACATGATCAAAGCATTTTCAGGATGTTAAACAAGAAAACCGATTCCCCAGAAAAGCATAATTTAAAGCATTTTAATCATTCGATTGGCACAAGTTGTAACGCGTCTGTGATATCGATGTTACTCATGTTTAAACTTTGAAACAGCTAAATGAAGATATTCGTCACAGTCGTCTATGGATCCCCTTAATTCCATATAATTGACAAATCAACTTTTTTATGTCAAACATTCATAATGGAATTTCAAAAGCAGTTTTTCTGTAATTTTACAGTAAATTTGAACACAGTTACATAACAAGTTTCAAAATTGGGTGTATACCCAGATATGCAAAAAAAAAAATCAAGGCTAGACTTTGTTGTATATCAAAACGCAAAATAATAATTGATATCGGATAATTGTAATCCTCGTTTTGGCATAGTTATGGATTTCTCGAAAACATAACGATTATTCATGACCCATGCACAAACCTTGACTACTGCTCGGGTGATATAGTATAAGTAAGAGACAACAGCAATTTACCGATGTTCAGATCTTGTAAACCAGATTTGAAAACAAACCAAGAAAAAAAAATGACGGAATCGCACGAAACCGAGAGAAACGGATGCATCGAAAGGATCCTGCTATACATGCATCACCTATGATGCGATTCTAGACTATCAACATAGTACTAACCAGTGGTTGGTTCTTAATGGAGCATACCGTTAAGGTAAGTTTAAGATGCAAATCTTCGATTTAGTTTCAGAAAATAAAAACACTCAGAGCTAGTAATTTAAGAAGACAAAGACAGGGTATAACTAAAAAATAGCCCAATTTATTAGAAGGTCAATTTCCTTTAGATAGTAACAACCTTCGTGTTTATCAAATGTACAATTTATTTTGTTGCAGTGTTGTTTTTTTATTTATATATCATGGATTCAATCTAATAATGAGGAATAATGAGAATGTAGAATTGAATTTATGAAGGCAATATTACAGCACCACTGTGTATATGACAAATCGAAGTTCAATTGAATTCACACAGGATGAAAATCCTTGATCACGGCCACAAAATATTAATAACCAAAAGATATTAAAGGCAAACTCGTTTGAATAGGAAATTATATCTTGATACAGGTATAAAAACTACATAAACATAAAGAGCCATTGGAAAGACAAACTCTAAACTTTGGAATAAACACAGCTTATGACCTAGTTCAACTAAGTTATGAAAACACAAACAACCGCTGACTCGATTCACAAGATATTCGAATATGAATAATTCTATATGATGTTCCAACAATGGTCAGCATTTAAAAAAGGAAAAGAGTAAAAAAATGAAAGACTGATTTGCACAGTGACAAATTATAATTGGATATCGGTAATTATTTTATTTTCGCAGAATATCTATTCAATTGAATGATTGATTAATTGATCGGTGCCTGCTTTACGCCGCCTTAGCACAATCATTTGAATGAAATAGTTAAACTAAGAGAAATGATGATGACGAAACATATAAATGCTTATTGTAAATACAAAGTATCACAGAAATGCTTTGTTCACTGGTAAAATAATATGTAAGGCGTCAATAGGAAATTGAGATACATTAACTTATTGTTTGTCTTGCAAAAACAAATAATGCCAACAAACTTTTGGTCTATGACAATGCTATTGTTCAGGTTGAGGTAATAATCCTCATCTACGACTTCTTCATTTTAGTTCTTCCAAATTGAACTTGCCAACACTTAACTATCAAATAAACTAATCCAAAGTAAGGTTTGACAGATAAATACACGGTATTATCATTCTGCATCATCCTTTAGATAACGAACAAAATGCTATTGTGTGTTACGTGATCACAACTCCTTTGCAGACACAATGCCCACCGTATCCTTCTGTTAATCCAGGCCATATGAAAGTCTGAATTCCATCGGAAGTAGAATTTGATGTGTGAAACCTAGTGTGTATATCCGGATTGAACTTGCGAGAGTCATACTGAATTACATATGGCGGGCTTTGAACTGTTAATCCCCAGGCGACACGAACACTAGCAGTAATATATTTCTGTAATCCAATACAGTCTTTAAGACATGGGTAGTCAAACAGTGTGGCATAGATTTGTCTGCAGACATCCTACAATGATACAAACAAAAACTTTATATAAACAAAACATTTTGGTTTTATTTATATTATTTTCAATGAAACAAAAATCCGACAGTGATGTAAAAAATATATGACCAAGTACAACCAAATACCAATATTTACAGCACCTGCTACCTGTTTATATCGCCTGTACTATACGAGAAGTTCGGTAAAGCATAGAAGTTATGTTAAGGTATGAGAAATAAGTGGGAGCTTTAAATTGACTGTACTGGTCAATCATTTTACAAATACCTTAATTTGACATTTTTCTTACCAACGACGTAGAGGTTAAAGATAATTCCTTCACTTGAGGAATTTGCAGTGCTAAAATCCTTAGAGAGGGGAGGGACACTCATCTAATTCGACAAAGAAAAGGATACGCCCTTAAAATACCAACATTTTCAAAAACATCAAAACATATCTATCAACAAAATAATCCTAAAATACCGTGAAAGCATTGTTACAAAATCAACGTGGATACCCTTCAGAACAAAATAATTCAAATTAAGCATCCCCAAAAAGAAAAATCAAATTCAGTCTAAATATTGATAATATTGGCAAGAAAGTAAATATTATTGTTCAGGTGTATAAAAGAACATAAAACAGTACAATAACATGTAATCGTCTCTGGCCATGAATTAACAAAATTTTAACAATATTAGTTTCCCCAATGCAAAGCAATCAGCATCTGCAGGACATGAACCAATTAACAGTCAACAGATTAGCAAGGAGCTACAAAGAGGGTCGACAAGATTAATGGAGCGGTAAATATTGACTGCAACTGGGGAAAAGAACACTTGCAATTTGGATATGGGCCGAAATTTAAGCTAATAGTTTAAAGCGGTGACTTATTTGTAATGGGTTAAAAAGATGAGGGCATGTTAAGTTTACTAAGATTCTGCGTACTTTGTTGCTAAGTATTTAGATTTCATTGCACATTATATCATTGATATTTATACCTAAAAATAGAACCGTCTTGTATAATGTTTTCATTTCACTGACAAAAATGAAATATATTCAGTTAACCAATAAACAACTTCATAGCTTGACTCATGTTGCGTCTTAACACAATTGGTTAATACTACTGGATACTGTTCTGCGGTAAGGTTTTGATTATTTATGAAAAAATTACATGATTTCAAAACACAGAAACCAGGGTTGATATGGTTAAGCAAATTTAAAAACTTTCCCGCGTTCTTTTCTTGTTGTATGATTTCTACAGAAACGAATCCCTTTCATATCTTAGCTATAATAAATCAATAGTGGGATACTTGAAGATTTTTATAAGTCATATACACTTGTAAGACTCACGAGAAACACGAAAAATCGCACAACACAGACCGTGAGATTTTCATTGGCAAATAAGCAATTTAGTATAAAAAAAGATTTTGGTTTCAGAAACCAAATTAAGAAACAAACATTTCAGATTCATCATATTCCTATAATATTTTGCCTGTGTGACAACTGAAATATTCTACCTGTGTGACAACTGTAATATCTTACCTGTGTGACAACTGTAAGATCGTAGCGATGTGACGTCTGCTGGAGGTAGAGATTGAGTTGTGATTCCATTTTCTGCGTGATGTCATCAACAATGTTCTGACTAGCATCTGGATGAGGAAGATTTAAAACATGGCGTAGTTTTCCTTTAATTTCATGAAGCATTTGTTGAGTGTCACGAAATGAAAGCTGAAAGGAATTTCAAAATCTTTAAATCTTCGGTGTCATTGGCACATTTATGAAATAAATTTAAAATATTTTTTTGCAATTATGATATTGGCCCAAGATGCAAATGTATATACAATAATGCAATATAATAAATTTTACCATAACCATTTACATTTTTAAGTCCCTATGGGATATTTCCAATTTAATGCACAGCGCAGAGTGTCGCAAAACAGGTAAACCTTTTCTGTACACTCTTTCATGCAGAACATGCAGTGGGTCACAAATTAGTGACGGAGCTTCAATTCTCAAAAGGTGGCATTAACATTTATATCTTTTTAAATTGACAGTAGGATGAGTAATGAATGATATGAGCCCTTTTATGTTGTCCCTAAAATTCCAAAAATTGTAAATTTTTTATTACAACTACTAGTATTTTTATTGCTTTTATGTTTTTATAGGCAATTTTGCGTCGATTGATATTCACGATTTTCCAAATTTGCACTCGCATAGGCAAATAACGAGATTATAGACATTCGCCACTCCCAAAAGTTGAGTAAATAAATACTTGCAAAATTAAGCTGATATTCTTGGTGGTAATGATAATATAGGTAACATTGTATAATAATTCGATATAAATCAATTTGTAATAAAACTGACGGAAATTTTGCTTTAGAAGTCGGATATGATGATAGTAACTTCAACTGGTCAAAACAATGAAAACGAAAGTAACGGAAAGCAAGGTATATAATTTAGAACTTTATATCTTGAATCATTTTCCTTTTTAAATCATAATTTTGTGGCATTTATAAAAAGTCGTCTTTTACTTTAAAAACGTGAAGTTTAGATGATAAGTATCGTGCCAATATAGAATTTATCTAAATATGCGTAGATTTTGACTGAGCACCATATCAAAGAAACATAACAAGAAAAATACTTGTCAAGCATATTGGGTCTCTGCCATCTTGAGAACGCTGTTTTTCTCACATCAGCTTTATCTTATTTTGAGGGTATAATAGAGAAACAAAACACAAACTTAAATGAACTTTAACTCATTGAACAACTGAAGAGTGGATTGTTATAGAAGTCATATTTTGCACCCGATGTATATATTTGACAAATGTCATATTTATGTTTACAAATTTTCTGAGATATAACAGAAAAGCAAGCTTTTCGTTTGAATTGTTTCACATTTTGTCATGTAGAATAGCCTTGTAAAGCTGACTATACGGTATGGGTTTTGCTCATTGTCGAGGGCCGTACAGTGACCTATACATGTAGTTGCTTCAACCTGCGTCTTTTGGACTTTGTTGTATGATCGTTTCACTGGCATTCATACCACATCTCCTTATTATATATCAAAATGTTTAGTTTGTTCTTATTATGAAAGGAGTACTTATATCGGAAAGCAGCTAGGCTGATAGTTTCAGGTGCAGATAGATAAAAAATGTTGGAATTATATTTTAAGTTTGAACAGGAGTTGACAGAATGAAATCAGAGAGAACATTATAATAATGATGGATTTTTTCACTTTCCGATATACTTTACTGACACATTAATAGGTACTGCATTCAAAACTAAAATAGCATATATTACGCATCAAATCTCTTTGCATCATACTTTATCAGAACTAAACCAGTTTAACCCCGCCACATTCTATAAGTTCCTGTTCAAGTCAGGAGCCTGTAATTCAGTGGTTGTCGTTTGTTGCTGTATATCATATTTGTTTTTCGTTCATTATTTTGTACATAAATGTTAGTTTTCTCGTTTGAATTGTTTTACCTTTGCCATTTCGGGGCCTTTTATAGCTGACTATGCGGTATGGGCTTTACTCATTGTTGAAGGCCGTATGGTGACCTACAGTTGTTAATGTCTGTGTCATTTGGTCTCTTGTGGAGAGTTGTCTCATTGGCAATCATACCACATCTTCTTATTTTTACATATATATATATGTTCCTATAGATAGAATCCTACAAATAATTATTACTTGATCATCCTGAAAAATAACACGTACCACAACAACGGAAAATAAGATTTTCTCTTTCAGTAACGATAACTCTCCTAGTTCCTCGATACTGTCCAGAGCATCTATTGCGTCCATTCGTGCATCACTATACAAATTACCGTATTGTCTGACTAATTCAGTTGGTCGATTTTCTCCCAGATTTAAATCCTCAAAATGTTGATTATTTGTTGTAAATTGACTCTGCACTTGATCTGCCAATCTAAAAATAGTCAATTATGTTAATTATGTATATATAATTACTTGATTCCGTGTTGGTCGGTCTTTTAAAGGCCGTCTTTACAAAACCTTAAAATTTCTGAATTAGACTGTATATTGTTATTTTTCAATACAAAAAAACTTATTATTTAATTTGAAATGTCATTGTCAAAATATTGGTATAACTTGTTTATATTTATATACTTTTGAATGAAAGCTTTACGAAATGGAATTGACATCATAAAACATACAGCGTATTGGGTCTCTGCGTGCCATCTTGAGAACTACTAGTACTGATCAGTACTTGATTGTAAGCAACGATTTCGTTTTGAATCCAGTACTCATAAAATGCCACAAAATTATGATTTTAAAAGGAAACGTATTTTAAAATGACACATATTTATGACATCATTTATATTAAATATTGTTGAATGACTTTTACGTTCTTTTTGAAAGAGTAATTATTGTAATGATATTTAGAATAATTCAATTTGGGCTCTTTTATTTTGTTTTCATGCTAAGTCACTGTTGGTCGCCAAGTTCAATTTTAAACGCCACGATTTCATTCTTCAAAGCAACGCCGTCAAAATTGTATTAAAAAAGGACCATTTGCTTGTTGAGACTAGGAAAACTGTCATTCGTTCCCAGTCAACTACGAAAAGCTAAACTTAAATATGTCACTTTGTATGATTGACTGTTTTATTAATATTGGTTGGTTGACTATGACTGTAGCGATTAAACCATTGATTTTCTTCATGAAATCATTCATACCAACGTATGCTAGCAATTTTAGTGCGCGCGACCGCGTAACTAAAAAAGTCATTAATTACACTAAGACTAAATCGACTAAATTCTAAATACCGTATGTATAAAAGTCGTAAGTATAATAGCCAAAATAACTTTTAAAAACAGGACGGTTAAAATCGTCGAATCTTTCAATCATTGTTAGATCGACTACAATTTTTCATTTCTGAAATTGACCACCGCAACCGTTGGTCTGGTCATGTATACGTATGAAACCGATTACAGTGAATATGAAATATGTAAATGGAATGACCTGTACCAGTTACGCTCGAGAACAGTGTAAACGACATGTTTTAACGGAATGACTTGTACCAAACACGTACACCACATGTGTAAACAGAATTTCCAGTTGCTCTGGCGGAAAGTGTACACAACATGTGTTAACGGAATGACATGTACCAGTTACGCTCGGGAACAATGTACACGACATGGATTGACGGAATGACATGTACCAGTGTTGGAGGCGATAAGTGTACACAACATGTTTAAACGGAATGACATGTACCAGTTACGCTCGAGAACAATGTTCACGACATGTATTGACGGAATGACACGTAATAATTACACACGCGAACAGTGTACAATGACATGTACCAGTTACAATGGAGAACAGTGTGTACGACAGGTGTTAGCGTTGGTGAATATTGTGCAAGACATGTATTAACGGAATTACCTGTACCAGTTAGACTGGAGAACAGTGTGTACGACATGTGTTAAAGTAACTACATGTATCAATTATGCTGAAAAACAGTGTACAAGACATGTGTTAACGGAATGACCTGTACCACTAACGCTTGAGAGCAGTGTACAAGACATGTGTTAACGGAATGATATGTACCAGTTATGCCTGAGAACAGTGTACAAGATATGTGTAAACGGAATGACTTGTATCAGTTACGCTGGACAACAGTGTACAAGACATGTGTTAACGGAATGATATGTACCAGTTATGCTGGAGAATAATGTACACGACATGTAAATGGAATGACCTGTACAGGTTACGTTGGAGAACAGTTTACAAGACAGGTGTTTGCTGGAAGACATGTACCAATTACGCTTGCGAACGGAATGAACTGTACCAGTTACGCTGCAGAACAGTGAACACGACATGTGTTAACGGAATGACCTGTTCCAGTTACGCTTGCGAACAGTGATCACGACATGTGTTAACGGAATGACCTGTACCAGTAATGCTAGAGAACAGTGTTTACGACATGGAGAACGAGAGACTTAGGATCCACATGCAAAATACCCTTTTGTTGCATTAAAACAAAAAGAGCAAGCGTCGTCTTGGTTCAAATCTTTCAAACGTTTCTTTTTCATTTTGACCTAAGCTACCTATTTTAATCACCATCCTTATACAGTATTAGTTTATTTTGTAGTCAAGTTTGTCTTTAAATATTCAAAATTTTTCAGTGACTTTGGGATAGGTGATCCTATAATAATTTGACAAATATAACTATTTTGTACGTTTTGCTAATATACCTATCCGTTAATTCCTGTTCATGTTCTTGTAATCTTTTGATCTCCTGTCTGCTTGTTTCAAGTTCCAATTTTAAATTCTCCACTTCTTTTTCCAGATTCTCCATTTTGTTGTCATGGTGATGAGAATGTCCATTTGTCAAACTATGACCGTTTACATGCGAGAAACTGTGTCTAATTGGTCGTGAATATCCGTTTGTAGTACCATTTAGTGACTTGGAATTGAACGGAAACGGTCCTGATATAATTGAAGGACGAAGACCTACAATAATTTCCGAGATGTTAAAAAGAATATATATGCACACATCTTTCAAAGAGACACATATTGTATTGTATACAATCGAAAGATAATGTAGACAGCAGGTCCACAGAATTTGAATCAAATTTTGAAAAGGATAAATTTGGAACATTTTCGTTACCATGGAATATCTTGATGTGTTTTTATGACTGGAAGATTCGTTTTAATCAAAACATTAGTCCAAGATTTCTTTGACGAAGGAATCTACACGAAATGTATGAAAAAGTCACCATATAATAGAAATCTAATTTCATAAATTTTCGATCAAAGTTAACACATAGCAATATTTAGAACCCAACAAGTAATGATGACATCCTGTTACAATTATGAGGCGCCGTATTACTATTTATTCCTTATTTTCTGATATCAAAAATTTATTTTCTGATATCAAAAATTCAATTTTTTGATATCAGGAAATCGATTTCTTGATATAAAGAAATAAAGAATATTTTGTGATATCAAAAATTCGAATTCTTGATATCAAAAAATCATTTTTTGATATCAGAAAATAAGAAATAAATGAATGATGACTCCCTGTGTGTCAATAAAAGCATCCAAGCTCACCCATGAGCCCAAACATCAGGAAATATATGCAAAAAAAGGTTCCCGGTAGACCAATTGTTTTATAATGTGGAGTACCGCTACACTCTATTGGTCATTATATTGATGACATAGTGTCCCTTGTTACAAAAACAAAATACAAGGACACTTCAAGTTTTATAATGATTTAGACTTCTAAGTCTCCAGAAAACTGCTATTTAATAACATTTGAAGCAAAAAACATGTACACTAATCTTCATTTTGACGAAACTGAACGAGTACTGAATTACCTTATTCCAACTTAGTACGAAATTCGAGTGCCATCCACTAAAAGACAATATACTGAAGCTTTTAGGAATTATTCTAAAATATAACATACTAGTATTTACTTTTGTGTCGAACTCTTAGAATCCCGAATGGCGGAATAGTTCTAAGAATTTATCAAATACTGAAAATGTTTTACAAAGCTTGACACATCGAAACAAAATACTGATGTGATCAAGATTTAGATACAATAGCTGGATGATATATTCAGGTTCAACTGATGTAATACACGATCTTTTCTCCTTATATATCCAATACAATACATACCCACCTAAATTTTACATACCAACATTTTTGACAGTCGTTTTAATACAAAGACAAACGCTTCCAAAATGAAGGTATTTTAGATATAAAAATGTACATCAAACCTACTGAAACTTTTCAATACTTCACAGAAAAAGCTCATATAAAATAAATGTATTTAAAGGATTTATGCATGGCGCGGTCCTTAAAAAATACTAGCAGTCTTCAAAAGACGTCTCTTAAAAAGACGAAATAGACGAAGTATTTGAAAATCCAAGACATGCATTTTTTTTTTATTAGTTGTTATTGGCTTTGAACTAGCTGTCAGTAAATGTGAGTACTCTCAGATCAGATCTGTACTTTGAGTCTTTTTGTTGTTTGTTGAGGATTTATAAATACCCTGTCACGTCCGATCTGTGTTTTTGTTAGCTGTTTTTTTTTTCTTTGTATCGATCTGATGATTTAAGCGCCTTTCAACTGATTTTTATAGTTTGTTCTTATGTTGTGATGTAACATCAGTGTCCCAGGTAAGGGGGAGGGTTGAGCGCTCAAACATGTTTAGCCCCGCCACATTCTTTATGTGCCTGTCCCAAGTCAGGAGCCTGTAGTTCAGTGGTTGTCGTTGGTTCATATCTGTCATTTTTGTTTTTCGTGAATTGTTTTGTTATAAATTAGGCAGTTAGTTTTCTCAATTGAATTGTTTCATATTTTTCATATCGGGGCCTTTAATAGCTGACTATACGGTATGGAGTTTTCTCATTGTTGAAGGCCGTACGGTTGTCTATAATTGCTTACACCCACTTCATTTGAACTTTTGTGGATACTTGTCTCATTGGCATTCATACCACATCTCCTTATTTTTATATTTAAGAGAACTAACTAACTTACTAAATCCGCAACATAAACAACGGGGGGAAAAACTAAAAACAATATTACCACAAAATCCTGGAAACATAAATCCGTTTCAGAGGAAACCAATAATTTTTTATAAAAGAAACGGAAACTTACAAGAATTATTGACTATAAACCTTAAAATAATTGAAATGTGAAACACAAAAACACAAAACTTCTTATGACTGATGAAGCCGAACTCTGAGATATTCTTTCCTTAAACACGACCGAAACACCAGACCTTATGTTAGGACTCTTGGGTGAGCTCGGGTGCTTTTATCGACACACAGGGTGCCCCATCATTCATCTTTTCCCCATTTTCTGATATCAAAAAATGATTTTTTGATTTTTTGATTTTTTGATTTTTTGATATCAGGAATTGGAATTTTGATATAAAAAAATGGATTTCTTGATGTCAAGAAATAATGATAATTTTCTGATATCAAAAAATCGAATTCTTGATATCAAAAAAGGGATTCTTTTATATCAAAAAATCAATTTTTGATACCAGGAATTCAAATTTTTGATATCAGAAAATAAGGAATAAATAGTAAAACGGTGCCTCGTATACAATTCACCATACGATAACTTTCAGATATATTTATGACGTTGTGTCCCTCCAGTAATATTTTACCAATCGGGATTATGATGACCTTCATTTATATTTCACTTCACAGGTCTAGAGTTATGATGACTTTAAATTATAATTCACTATATATAGCATGTGATGACCTTAAGCGAAATTATGACATTGAGTTATATTTCAGCATGTTTATTTCAGATGACCTTTAGTAAGATGTTGATGTCATTATTTGGCCTGGTGTCATTGGATATGATCAACATGATATCCGATGTACTGATACCGTATGTCTAAAAGCAATATCATGATGTCATTATTTAGAATAAAACAGTTTATATCTTTTTCTTACATAAGACTTATACAATATCATAATAATTGTACATCATTAGCATATCTTTGTAAGTACATAAAAATTGTAAGAAATAGAAGTTGTTTTTTAAAATGCAATGTCTATTTTTTTTAATGCACTGTACCGTGGTAATTAATTTCATGACTGACTAATTTGCGAAAGCTGTATATTTTTTTAAACATGGCTTCTTCTAGATAACCACTTTTCGCCACTCTAAGTCTTTTGCACGGTACTAGCCAGACTTAATTTAAGTGATTTAACATAATGATTGTTATGCGCATTACACAAAAGCACTGCCAAACATAAGTCAAAATAGAGAGACCGACTAAATAATGACAACAAAAAAACGAAAAACAACGAAACGACAAACAACAGTTTACAAAACGCTACATAACAAAATGACTAAGTAACACAATCACCACCAAAAACTTAGGGATCCCAGGTGCTCCGGAACGGAAACCAGATCCTACTCCATATGTGTCACCGTCGTGTTGCTCATAGTGAGTACAACGTAACTGACCTTATACCGGTATGTTTATTAAAAAAAAAAATGTTTTACAACCGACTATTTTCGAAATTTTCCCATTGTTCTATAACTGTCTGTGTGGTTATTAATCGTTCTTGTCAAAATTTGTGCTTTTTATAACACATTTTAATTCTTTTCTATCTTTTCTGGAAGTCATTAACACATTATTTGAAATGAATTAACAATATAAAAATAAGAAGATGAGGTATGATTGCCAAAGGGACAACTCTCTACAAAAGACCAAATGACTGGTTTGATTTTAAATAGTCATTTAAATTTTTCATCATCTAGAATATCATTGTTTTGCAAAGGCGTTTAATGTATTATATAATGTGATATAGGACTACATTTGAGTCCTAAGTGTGATATAAACCAGTGTGAAACAATCTTAACTATATGCATTTGGCTATTTTAATGTTAGTCAATATTGTATATATTAGTTCCCAATACATACGTTATTTATATACATTGTATGTGCAACCATATATAAACTAGACCCCCAAAGCTGTACTTATATATATATATTAGAAATAATTATATGTATGTATTAAAGCATTTTGTTAATAAATATTGGATTAATTATCATAACAAAACCATGATTTCACAACTGACCTTTTTTGTCTGTACGTAAAAATCCTCTACCCGTACTTCCTCCTAGCACATTTGTATAAACATATTAATGATATGCAGTTACATGTCCTCAATATTTATTTATTCATATGAAATCTAATTAAGATTTGATAACTTTGTAAATATTGTAATAATCAGTTTTTGGATTCGTCCCAATATAACAACCTCAGTGATACCGCGATTCCATTGCGCCCAAGCTGAGTTAATCCCAAGACTTTAAATCGCAATTTTCTGCTTCTCCGGCAAGTCGTGGCTTTTTTTAGTAAGAGCAAAGACTGATCAGGGTCGGAGTAGGAATAATGTGTTTATATAGTGTGATATGTCTTCCCGAAGACTGATAGCTTTCGGGCCTAGCACGTTAACAGTCTGACGCGTATCGGTCTGGTGCAAAGCAGGGTATTCTCATATCTCATTAACATGTTTTTGTCTGAATATTCATGTACTATTTGCCCCTGGACGTAAAGTATAAACAATTCTAGATATGAACGATTTAGGAACCTTTATAAAACCATTGAAAGTAAGCGCGAGTATGAAGTATATTTAAAATATTCGCGAATAAAGTAGAGTACAATTTTAATGGAATGGCTGATTTAAAAAAAAACGTGCACGTCATTATCAAATAAGGAGATGTGGTATGATTGTCAGATTTGTATATGTTTATCATCTTTTTTTTAATCAATACTGTACTCTGGTCATAAATGTAATTGAACAATTTGGCCGTCTCGGACAAGGGCGATGGACATATAATTTAGAATTTATCTAGAAGTTAATTTAGGTAGGGATATAAACGAAAATGCTGTATGTGTATTTGGACCTAGAATTAAATTGAAAATCGTGTATTTACATGCTATGATTTTTTCAATAACGTTATAAACTGTGATGTCATTATTTCACCAAAACAAAATTGGTAAGGTAACAGAAGTTTTTAAAGGAGATTTATTTGAATTGAAACAGTACGCAGCCGTTGCAAAACTTAATGTGATAGATTGATAATCTCTAAAGACATAGCCATTGTGACTACAGGACTTGGTACCAGGAAATAGTGCAAAAAATCAACTATACAAAACACTTCTCCATAACAGAGCCACTACTGCAGTGGGCGTCATGATTGGCATAATAACATATCTTGTATTTTTTATATAGATGGGAAATGATTTAACAATGCTATGAAGACAAGTGTATGTGACCCAAATACGTATTTGCTCTTTACTAGTATTGCACAAGTAACTTTCTAATTTTAAATAGATAGCAAGTAAATCAAAACTGAGTGAAATAAAAAATGTGCAGAAAATAATTCTTTTATCTGTTTTTCTTTCTTTGACAGCTTTTGAGTTTATCACTAGAATAAATGGACGTAGACTATGGGTTCACTGGTTTCTTCGATATGGTAGCAGACTACATACTTAGGGGTCGTCTTTTTTTATATTGGGATGTATAAGTACACGGTCGTGTAGAATCAGATAAGACACATAAACATGAAAGTGCAATGTATTCGGAGGTTACTTGTGTTAGTTGAAGTTTATGTCCGTATAAAAAATGCCCCCATTAAAATATATATATACATGTACCCATTTTTCAGGATGGCAAATACAGTTCTTTTAAGTCCCGAATATGTCTGCAGTATTGCTTAATTTTCGTTAAGAATTGAACAACCAATTATCAATAAATCACGACCTTTAATCAGTATTAAGCAATCTACAGTCAACCTGCAGTATATTTACTAGTATTGACACAAAATTCCAAAGAAACCCTGGACACCTTCGTTTGCCATGTAAAGTAACATTCCTAACATTGCACGAAGGCTTTTATTTTGTCACTAGAAACAAAATTTATATAGTTCAAATTGTATTTATCAAATCTACAAAACACAAGAAATACAACATTAAAAGGGATATAAGCACTGAATTGTACAGTAATTGCAGGCAAAATGATACTTAATTGATTTCATGGAAATTTTAATGAAAAAAATTAAGAACATGAGGTAATTTCTTTGTAGAAAGAGATTTAAATTGACAAAAAGAGAAAATAAACCAGTGAACAACCGCACAACAATAACACTTTACACCAAATTATCAAATGGAATTTAATAATTACACTGTTCCTCCCCTCCATATCAAGTTAAACTTTTATTACATTATTTGATTAAAATATTATTAGCATAGCATGATAAACATTCAATCAAATAAAAATGGTGTACAATGAAGTTGAATTGGTGCGAGCAAACTATTTTTGATAATCCATTAAGCAAATTCTTTGGATTAAAGATGAAAATGAGTTCAGTTTAATATGATACTGAAAATATCATATTGTTGAGCAATAGAAGAATGAAACTGAAATTTAACGGTTTAATAAACAATATCAAAGATATAGTTATGATGTGATTTATCGATTACAGACCAACTAGACTAAATGATTTCTTTGAGAAGCAGTAATAACTTAATAAAGGAGTAAGGGCAATAATGCCCTTATTTGTCCCAAATATTATTGCAAATTTAAAAGTTATCATACATATTCTTAAATTTGTCCTAACTAGACTAAGGTACAAGGTATTCAGAAAATAAAAACAACTTTCACATTTAAAGAGTTACCATGGCAACAAACCAAGACAAAATTTGAATATTTTGTAAAATTTCTTGATTTTCCTTGTTTTTCATCAAATTTTAAGTATATTTTAGATTGGCAAAGTATGTGCGCACCCAAGAAACAACGTCATATTTGATGAGATTATGTCAATAGTTATAATAAAGCTTCTCTTAAATTATTTTGTTGTCTTGGCTGCGCACGATATTTCCACAATGGAAATAACAATGGAAAACTGCATAAATTCTGTAATTCTCATCGTTTTCATGAATACGGTCCATATCATGACTTAATTGTGACGTCATCAGATAAAAATAAATCTTGTTTTTCATTTATATTTCTTGACTCTATGCAATTCCAAACATTATGTGCCAATTTGAAATAGTTGTCAAAAACTTTATATTCTTGAGCCAAAATCGGGCCTTAATGCCCCTATTCCTTTGTGTTCTGAAAACAAAATAAAGTCTCTCGTAAGCGGATTGGTGCAAAGATGAACTTAAGGTGGAGAAAATTTCAATCTATGTTAGAAGCTTCGACCTTGACGTTTGAAATTTCTCCTCATATAATATATAACTATATACCAAGTAAGTTTGTAATCCTTTGTGTAGGCATCCGGCAACAAATATTCTGCATAATTTTCAGTCTTTTTGTAGTAACTATGACCTTGGGTATAGTGACCTCAAAATCAATAAGAATAGTCCTCTCATTATACGTGACCATATATCTTAGTATGGTTGCAAACCGATATGTAGTGTAGTATTGAAGTTAGCATCCGGAAACGAAAATGACTGATGAACAGACTGACGCACGGACTGACGGACAGGCTAGAATTATATAAATCCTGCTCCTTCGTGGCATAATGAATATGAAGGGCATACTTTCATTCAAACGAATTTTACTTTCATCGTGTATTTATTGAAATGGAATAAGAAACACTTAACAATATTGAAAATATGACACATAATCGTGTTATAATTTGAGCCTTTAATGTTCTATTCCTATATAATACTGTATGTCAACAGAAAAAAAAACAGGTGAAAGTTTCCTAATACACAGTTTATTACTTTCTTATGTATGTTAAAATTAGTCCGCTGAGAAAATATTTAATTAGTAATTAAATTAAAATTCTAAATCATTTCAACTTTGTTTACCCTTTAGGAAATACGCATTTACATTAGACTTATCACATATAAATAAAAAATCGAACATTTTGTTAAGTGTATTTCTGATACTTTTTTTATTTCCCAATACATGAAAATGTAATTAAAATTTCAGTTAAAAACAGTTTAAGGTACACACCAATGACTCGTATGGTGTTTATGTATTGAATTTTATGATGAGAAAATTGGTTCCTTTTGATGTGTAGAAAATCAATACAAAAAATGAAATTTAAGCTATGATCATTTATAGAAATGTATCAATATAAAATGATTTATGATTTTGAATGTGTCTGTGAAAATTTTCCAGGCCAGCCGAACTGCACATATTTATGTCATCCTTTAGTAAAGGACTTCAATGGCTGTGCATTGAATATTTAAATCTTCTCGAACAGATTTTTTTTAAATGAAAATTTTCTAAATAAATTGAGAGAGAGAGTCATACAAACAACAGTTTTTGAGTTGCGTCCTGTTTGACTTGATTTATTTATGTAGTATTCAGCCATTTCCTTTGTCAAAACTCAACATTTTCATTCTCCAAATTCTTTATAATCATGTTCATGCTTCACTAGTGAACACAAGTGCACACGTGAGAAAATAATCATTGATACTGAACAGAAGACTATGAAACCACGGTCTAATTTGCGGGAAGTGTATAAAAACAGTTCAATTGGTAGTTTAATGTACAGCAATCACATTTCCCCCTCACAGCTTCAAAGTCCGCGACAGGACGCAAGAACGTGTACATGTAAACATGTATAAAAAAGGTGATTTTGAATAATTGAAGTTTTGCATAGTTTCTCTATGATGACCAGAAAGACAATGTTTTAGTCTAATGAATCATCCCACAAAGACCTTTAATCGAGTCAATTTTGAAACTAACCATGTATATAACTAAGTTGTTACATTCAGAACTGTGATAGAGAAGTCAGTAAGCAAAAACATTGGCCTCAATATGTCTAATTTGTAGCTATCTCTAAATCACAGCTTGGGTTTAAATTGATACTTAGATATTTTAACACCTGTTATCAAAGTTTTACGCTCGGACAATTTATATCTTTGAGTTAATAGTAGATAATACAACGACTTAATCTGGATAAAGACCTGTTTGATGGATATTTGATGCTCTTTTGTTAAGGCGATTTAATAAATTTCAAATCAGATTGTTCTTCGTAAACCTTAAAATAATGATGTGTATTTCCTACATAGACAACCTCGCAAAATGCGACTTTGTACAGACTTGAAAATTAGAGCACTAACCGTGAACATATAGCATATGTATATATAGATGCAGATATCTACGGTTTTTTTCTTCATTTGTTTGAATAGTTTGCCCTTCCCGTAAAGAAGTCAATGACATATGTTTAGATTTTCTATACATACTGATAACTTTAATAAAAACGACCCGTCTTGCAAAAGATGCAGAAAACGTGTGTATGTTAAACTTAATTAATAACTGAAATAAACTTACCATTTGTTTTTAAAGTAAAAAGCCCATTAAAATTTGAAATTGTTTTCATTCTGTCCATATGCGTAACGGGAGAAACAATATCTTCATCACTAGAAGGCGCTTCATCCTCTGTTGGTGCTTCTTCCTCCTCGGCAACTTCCTTCAAAAGGCGAATGATTACTGCGTACCCTTGAGAGAAATGCTGAAGTGTCGTAGACATAAATGCGTCCTCTGGAAGGTTTTCACACGATTTCCTCAGTTCGTTTTCATGAAACATCGATATTTTATCGTATTCAATCCGTTTCTCTAATATGTGAATGAGTTTCTTTAAATACTGATTTGTTATTGCAGGTTCGATGATGTTGTATACAGTTCTGTTTTTGATTAGACGACTTTCAACTTCATCTCTACTCAGTTGCATCAATCTTTGATGACTTACCAAAGTTGGTGCTTTCCCAAACGTTATAGAACTTGACATCGGATGTTTTGCTGACAAACTTAGTTCGTCTAATTTTTGCAACGCAGTTTTGTACTGATTTTCAACTTTTTCAATTTCAAGTTTAAGAGAATCGTGTAAATTCATAAGTGAACCACAAGAACTGTCAACAAGGCCATGTTGTCCCAAATGTTTAAGACATTTGTCCAAAGCCTTTTTCTTCTGTCGCAATTGTTGCCGTAATCCGGGTTCCACAGATGACACCACTCTCAGAATATTCCTGCAGAATGGATAATACACGTTACAGTTTTTATCAATAGACTTTGCTAAAATAGCAAAACATGTAACCATCCTTTTAACCAAAAGATCCGTCCTAATATGCTCTTTTGGAAATTCTTCATCTATTTTATCAAAAAGTTTTACGTACAGAGCTTCAAGAATCGACAAGCTGTGTGGCATTGAATCATACAAAACCTCGAGTGGCACTTCAGCCAAAATATTTCCCAAAGTCACAGAATTCATTCTTCTGATAAGGGTAGCACATTCATCATATTTTTTCGTTTCAAACAACAGAGCAATTTTTCTCAAGGCGAAGTTTGGTGTTATTTCGGTTGACTCCATCGACAATGTTTCTTCTGGAAACGACTGAGCCCATCGGACATTACGCCATATTTTCTGAACTCTTTGTCGAGGTGTCTTTTCTGGACGTATTCGCTCTGCCATCCTTCCCGATCCAGAACTCTCCGTCTTAAATTGATAAAAAGACATTTTAGAATAAAGTTCTTAATTCATATCAAGATTAAATTTTCTGTCAACTTTAACTTTCAAATTACTTCGCTTAAGAATTTGCACATGCACACGTGTTTAAAGCCGGATCTTCAATATACTTAATTGTATGTAAAAAATGCTTTCTGTTGACAATCGTTTAATCTTTTTAATAAGGTAAAACAATCTCTCTTGTTAGACCAACTCTATAACTGAAATATTAAGTTAAACCTATTCAGATTGACGTTAAAAAACCAATAAAATAGGAGATGCAATGCTAGATTTCTTTGTTCGACAACTTAAAATTGGTCGTAAGAATCAATAAGGAATTTAAATTATCAATTATGTATGATGTAAAAATTAATAGTTCTGTTAATTTCTAGTCAAAACATGCAATATTGTATTTTAATATGCGATTTTTTAGTTGTTTATTAAATTATTGAACAAGCTTTTCGCATTTTACAATGACTAGCTATTAGCATGATAAAGCTGTTTGAAAATTAATGCATACATTTATAAAATGAATATCGGGTCAGATTTATATCTTACTGAATTGTCAATCTTTTTTGTCATGTGTATTTGAAAGATAGTGCCTTATAATGGCACCGTGATTTTGTTAGTAAATTTCCAGATAATACAATTATGTAATTGTTATTAAATTAAGGTAGTAACTCTCTCAGGCAAAGTCTTCACAAGAGAGCAAATAACGTAGAAGTTAACACTTATACGGCCTTCAACAATGAGTAAAACCTATACCACATAGTAAGCTATAAAAGGCACAGAAATGAAAAATGTTAAACAATTCAAACGAGAAAACTAACGGCCTGATTTATGTACAAAACATTAACGAAAAACAAGTATGATGTACAGCAACAAACGATAACCACTGAATTAGAGGCTCATGACTTGGGACAGGCACATACAGAATGTGGTTGGGTTAAACATGTTTGCTGGCACCAAACCCTCTCCTTAACCTGGGACAGTGGTGTAACAGTACAACATCAGAACAAACTATTATAAAGCCGGCTATGACAGTTTTGAATAAGTCCTGTTGGTGCTTTTTTTTTGTCACGAGCATACCTGAAGAAAGACAAACAGAAATCATGTATTTTTTCATATTTCGAATTCCTTTGATAAAAGTAAAACTGTTTTACAAACACATTGTACCTCTTTTATTTTTTCATAATAGTACATTAAACTATATAAACTACCGGTACACACAAAGCTGATTATTATTCTTTTAGTGTTTTTTTTCAAAGGTGTATAAATAATATTATAAAACATAATGATGAAATAGAACTTTGTAAATAGTTTTGGAATGAGGAAAATAGTACCATGTTATGATAAAGAATAACAATATGCAGCCAACTCCTTAAATAACTATGCGGCAATTGTCTGTATTGTTTAAAGATTACGAAAAAAACATTTTTGTGAGACTTACTTCGGCCGAACTATCTTCCGTGTCCATAGATCCCATCTCGAGTCGTAAATAATTTCTAAAAGGTTTTTAACAATATTCTATACAGCCTTTTTACAGTAATTTGTCAGAGGTGTGAATATAAAGTTTTATCTGGTCATCAGACATATCTGTAACATACATTAACGGTTTTCCATAACCACGGGTGGCTCAATTATTTCACATTCATGCCTATACAAGTAACTTTGTTTGGATTAAAAGAATTAAAATTCAACCATGACATTGTTATCACTCAAAGAAGACTTTCTGACTTTAAAATAATAATGAAAGTATTTGATTTCGCAGCGAATTCCTATTCGACATGTCATGAGTTTGAATCTAGAGCTGGAAATGGCATCAGAGGCGGATTTAGAGAGTAGGGGACCAGACACGCTTATGGAACTATATACATACTAGTATATGGTTATTGCAAGACTTTTTACATGTCCCAATCATAAAGTTTTCTTGACAGTCCCCTCTCCCCTTCCCCCTTTTTCATAATCCCACATCCACACCTGGTCATGTAATGCAAACGTTACAGATATACTCCGTATTATAAATTTTGAGATACTCCCTTACCTATCAACTATCTGTTCTAACTGTCCCGCTCAGGTCATAAGTTCACCCATGCCAATATACACTCATGGCACTGATTTCACGGGTTTCAAAAAGTTAAAAATTAAGCACCATTTAATTGGTAAAATCTATAATTATTTGTAAATTGAAACGATTGAGTAATAAGTAACATTAACGATTCCAAAGAGCGTAAAGTTGTATATAGATGTACCCCCAGGGCCTAGATTGAGTTAAGATTGAAATCTGATAAATGCCATGTTAAGTGGCGTTTAGAATCGCTACTATACTTGAATAATTCAAATTTTTACAAAAGCCATAAACAAGTCATTTTCAGAATGTAAATAAATTTCCCACATTTCAATAGGTCTGCTTTCACACGGGTATCCTATTAACTTGTTTGTGTCAACTTTAATTGTAACCGTTTATGTATTCTGTATCAATAGCAGTGTAAACACAATTATAGTGATAGTTATTTGTTTTGGGAAATTACAATTTTCTTTCCGCATTAAAGCTTTGTTTAAGACGAAGGAATGGAATATATAATAAATTCAATCAAAATATTATAAACAGTGAGAAATAATTGAAATATTTCACGGTTTAGGTTATTTGATGATACTTTCGGTACGCCATGAAAAGATGAATAAAAGATGTAGGAACACGTCAATTATACAGCAACCCATCGATAAAAAAATTATCTCAGAACAAACTTATTCCGTCCTTAAAATTAAAGAATTTTGGCAAGAAGGAGGATAGCTGGCATAATAAAAAAGGAAGAAAAATAAGAAAGACGAATTATAAAATTTTCAAATTTCAGAGACTCTCGGTCGGTGTCTAATATTGGCCGTTCGATTGTTTCGGGTCTATGATAAATTTACGATAGTTTTGTGGGTTGTTTTTCGTTTAAAAAAATATTACGGTATCATCTTTTTTAGACAGTATTTTGATTATATCTAGGTCCATTTTGATTCTCAGAACCTTTACATTTTTTATTTTTTTCATTTACCTATGAGTTAGTATAATAGTCCCAGGCATGAGCAATCCTTATGAAGCCGGTATCAAAATAGACGTTTTACCTATTCAGCGGCAACTGGATATATCTCTTGATATCATCACTTTGAAAGAGATTGATTAGGTCATAGATGAAGAGAAAAATATCTGCAAATCAATGCAAACACCCTCTCCACATAAAAAACGAAACAAAAAAAACAACAGAATACAGATTATCAAATAATGATGAAGCGGACAGTTCATCGTTTCTGATAATGAACCACCGACAATATAAAATTACACATTGAAGTTAAGTTCCTGAATTATCATAAACACGGTCTTTGATCCCGGTCAATTCTTTGCTTCGTGTCCTGTTCTGTCAACTTTGAACCGGGGTCCCAGGCTATCATAATCCTGTCTACGATGTATTATTATTTGTATAATTGGATAAATACATATGATTTATATTTGTTTTGTGTCAAACTAACAGTATCGAACAATAACTAATCATTTTCATAAAAAAACGTCATCATTTTAATGTACCTATAGTTAATCATATATAATAATGTCGTTCAATTACTGCATAGGTATTCACAAAAATTTCAAACAATAAAGGTTCTTGAATAGAAAAGAATGAAAGCCCTCTATTTCTCCAATTTGATTGCTATTTTTATAAATGCTGCTTAGAAAAGTGCATGTGTTTGTTACTTTTGTCAAGCCTATAGAACAGACCAAAGTTACATGGTCTACTTGATTACTTTAATTGCATTGTTATAAACCATACTTTTATGAACTAATATAATAAACAAAAAATCAATTATCACACGAAGTCAAATTCGTTGTCCACATATTTATTTTCTTACCATTTAAAAGACAGAAATTGTGAAAACGAAAACAATAATCTGTTCTTTAAATATTGACTTATTCCTAAGCAGATCATACGCTTATATACTTTCGTCTGGAAGGGTGATAAAGCTTATTAACTTTATAATTCTTGTAGCAATAACTGAATAATTGAAGTATATGTAATAAGTAATTTAATTGGTGTCAATTTAAAATTATTAGAAGAAAACAATCACGCAACATTCTACCGATATGAACAATGGGTCACATATATCTGGAATGGAACCAGACATTAACTTTATCAACATTGATTTGTAGTAGATAAAATAAATAGATAACAAAGGAAATAGTAAAATAATTATAAGGTTATTTGTTTATTTATTAGTTAAATATTTGAATTTTCACTGTTTATACTTTATTTTCGAAAGCAAATGTAAATACAACCAATTGAAATGAAATGTAAGCTTACCTGAAAATGCAACTTCTTTATTAGTTAGAAAAAAACTTGTGTGAAATCCGTATTTATTTGCACTTTTAACCCGTAAAATATTGAAATTCCATCGAAATTGTTCCTTTTTAAACTTTGAATCCCGACTGAATAACAAAATTTTAATTACTATTACTCAATGAAGATAAATCTTAAAAGGCTGTCAGGGGAGTAATGGAAAAGAATTAATAAGCAAACATGTTATCATTCTCATCTACTTTATCAAAGATTAAAAGCCTTACTCTAGTCTTACATTAACAAAAGTAAATATGTTTACCTCTGAAGTCGAAAAGGTAGGCATTTTAAGGAATTCCAGTGTAGCTAGATACACTTAATTTAACATCCTTCAGAATCTACGATACTAGCCTTCGATTTGCTCATTCAGTTCTGACAGTTATGTGAAAATTGAAATTATCTCCCTTTTTTCACTCAACCGTTTTAAAGTCATTTGACCCTGGTTGTATTGTTTGTTCGTATTTTATAGTACAATAGATCGACAGATATCTGTACATAACATTTTAAACAAATTCCATAATGGAATTATTATGTATGTAAAGGAAAATAAACAAATAAAATGAATGCACATTTCTGTGCTCGAATTACCACAAACAAATTGCTCATGAACATTTAAAAGACGATATCCCATTATTAAGAATAAGGATATAATTGTTGAATTTTATTTCAATGACGCAGTGGTGATTGAAGATACAAATTTGTGAGTGATGGATGTCAAGAATATTTGTAAAAGGGAAATAGATTTTTTTTCTTTCAAAAGCATATATGAAACAATTAAAAAAATTAAATTTACTCCATCCACCCCCCTCACCCCCGCAACAAAAAAAACCCAATCAATGACTGCAAAGATTTCAAAAAAAATATTAAGAAAGAAAACTCGAGAACATAACACTTCCTGTCCCATCGCCTAAGTAATGGCGTATCGTATGAAATCATAATATATTCTTCCTCAGTGATGTATAAAAACATGGTCACTTTTGGTCTTCTTCCGATCGGCAGTAGAACATTTGCCAAAGTGGGGCGTCCGTTTTGGTTGTGGATTGTTTGGATGGATAAATACACTGCCACGTCCGGTCAGAATGGGGACGTTAAATCCAATGCCTCGTGTAGTGAGAGTGCCACACTCAGTGCGCGTTAAGAACCCTTGCAACAACTCTTTGGGGGTTCGTAGATGGCTTTTTGCAATTCTAAATTGTTTTTCCTATTCAGTACACCTTTCAACCTTTCATTTAAGTGGCAGTGTTCGTCCTGAACATGTTTGGAATATTTGCCACCGGACGTTAAGCAAACAACAATCAATCAATCAATCCTCAGTGCATGATGTATAGTATATTATCAATATAACCACTACATTAGTCTCTCATAGATAGATGTGCAAACTCATTACACTTTTGTTTCTTGCTAAACTTGAAATGGGGTATGTTAGGATGAATTGGGATTATTTTTTTCATTGGTAACTTTCTCTAAATGGAAACGTCACTCAAAAAAATCATTTTTATGTCATCGGATTAAGCGTAACAGATTTACGTATAAGTGTATATATCATTTGTATATATTCTGAAATAGAAATTTAAAGTAAATGTTATACTTCAACCATGAGATGCAAAGGTACCATATAGTGAAGAATATTTCGTAATCCCACGTCACTTCATTTGAATGTCTCCATCAGCTATATATATAGTCACTTCAAACTGTTTATCAGAAATAGGCTAGGCGTTGAACGAAATATGGTGAAAATGGATTGTAAGAGGCAAGCTATTTAGTGACTACAGACTTTTCCCGTAACCTTATAATACGACACTGACATTAGTTTTATGCAGACTTCATGTTTTAAAGCTCCTAATAGAAACGAGTGTACCATTTTTGAAAATTTGATGTATGCGGTAAGTCGTTGTTAAATGTAAAGTAAAAATAGATATTATCGATAAAAAATAAGATGCTTACATGTATACCAAAAGCTATATCGATTCTGAAATCTAAGGCTGACTTCTAATTTTCTTCACAATCGATTTCATCCACAATTCATTGTTTTAATGCTTTCCTGCTGAATTAATAATCATTTTACTTTGAATCATGCAATCAAGGACATGCGATGAAATTAGCAAATGCATGCTTACTTTCTGTTAAGTTCTGTAGAAATTTTCAATATGGCATTGTATTTTAAGTAACGTTAGCAACCACGTTCACCTTAAATTAAAGATTTTGTCAAATATCAGTAGTTTTCTTTTGTTCGAATCATTATTATTCCTATTGTAGTGTTTTTGACACACAACAAAAAATTTCAAACACGAAATGTTTGCATCTTCAAAGCTCAAACTGAGCAGTAAAAAGCATATATTGTGTGACGGAACAGTGGGGGAATGGGTAGGAAGTCACACTCTGAAAAGTCAGTGAAAAAATATATATTTAAGAAAGATGTTACATATAAGTATGTAGATTTTGTAAACTTTTTTTTAATTCTCGTAGTTGCCATTTCCCCCACAAACACATACAAACCTGCATTTAGTCCGAGATTACTCTGACATCCAACGGCTGTTTTGCCCCAGCTTGTCTGGCAAAACAGCCGTTGGACGCCAGAGCAACATCGAAATTACCCGCATTCAAAATTTTGTTCTGCCGTCTATGTTATAGGAAGTGTTCAACTGAACGTGTAGCTGCTGTAGTTTAGAAAACTCGTTCATGAAAATATAAAATTCGAGTATGAGTTAAAAATGTATTTAGCTATGCTAATAGCATTATGTCCTAGGTTACTTAGAGTTATTCCCCATTACATGTAACTGAAATGCATATATATTGATACAATTATAATAATAATAATAATAATAATAATAATAATAATAAATTCTTTATTTAAAGAGGGTAACTCAATTAGAAGTAGTCTAATTTTCATTGAGGCCCTCAAACAAAATACATGTATACAGTAAACATTCATACATTCATACATTAAGATACAATATATATTACTAGTATATACACAATTCAATCATTCAATCATACAAATGGCAATAAATGGCAATAATTGGTAAAGTTTGATTAAATTTTCTTATTCTTACAATAAAAGAAAGAAAACAAATTATTCGACTTGCATAGAATTTTCAAGAAAATGATACATTTCGACAATTTTTTTATTTTGAGTGGTAAATTATTCCATACCTTTGTTGCAGAATAATGAAAAGATTTTTTATAAAAATTTGTATTTGGTATTGGAACAAATAGATCATTATTAGAGACAGATCGTAATTTGTGGTGTTGCACATCATTAATATTTAGCATTGTTAAGTAATCAGGTGTTAGTCCATTTACAATTTTATACATTAAAATTGAGAATGGAAATGGGGAATGTGTCAAAGTGACAACGACCCGACCATAGAGCAGACAACAGCCGAAGGCCACCAATGGGTCTTCAATGCATTAGAATTGATTGTTGGTATTTTATTCTTTTTGTAAAAGATAGTCATTTTAAAGATGAAAACATAAAATTAGATGGAACAGAAATATCGCATTCAAGTATAATTCTTGCTACTCTTTTTTGAAGTTTTATGATTCTATCTGAATCTTTTTGTAATAAATTTCCCCAAACTGAACTACAATAGTCTATATATGGTAGAATATATGCATTATAAAATAGTTGTCTTGTGTGTATAGGCAAATATACTTTAATTTTAAACAAAAGTGATATTTTAGATGAGATAATCTTGCATATACGATCAACATGATCCTCCCAGCTTAAATTTTCATCAATGTCAATTCCAAGTAATTTGAAAGAATGGACATTTTCAATACATGTTTCATTGACGGTAATACATAATTCTGATAGTTGTGTAAGTTTTTGTTTTGAACCCAATTTCATACACTTTGTTTTTTGTGCATTAATTTTCATACTGTTATTGTTACACCAAGATTGTATATATATAGCATTTAAATCATTTTGCAATATTTTTTCAACGTTTTTATTATGAAAATGCAATGTTGAATCATCAGCATATAAATCCATGTCGGATTGTTTAACATGAAGTGGTAAATCATTTATATAAATTAAAAATAATAGAGGACTTAAAATAGAACCTTGAGGCACTCCATATTTTACAAACGATTTATCAGATTTAATGTTAGCGTATTGAACTTCTTGTTGTCTCTCAGACAAATATGATTTTATCCAATCTATCATATGTTCTCCGATATGATAAAATTTCAACTTTTCTAAAAGTATGGCATGGTTAATAAGGTCAAAAGCCTTACTGAAATCTAAAAACACAGTACCAACTATTTCTCCATTGTGTATATATAAGAATGTAAGATCTTTCCTTTGTGTGCTTTTATATGTGTTGAAATATATTCCAAATACCGTTTCGATTCCTAACATCACTGAAGAGACATTAGTTGTCGAAATCCGGATGTGGTATACCAATATTTGGACCTAATGTTTGCGGTATACCATCTTTCCCGCAAGTTGATTGTTTTCTGTTTGGTATTAAATTAATAATTAAGCTCCATTTTGTTACATCTGGTGATCCGTTTATTTGGCCATCGTCATGGCAGTCAGCAGTGTTTAAGAACATCCGTTGTTCGACCTGCTGAGTTTTGTTAAAATATACTTTTTCACTTTTTTGGTCTTTTGAAAAATGTTGTTTCTGCTGTATTTAGACCCCTCTACAAAGAAATTTGGTTTGCATGCAAACACGTATGAAAATTGCGGTTTTTATCCAACGCAGTCATAGGTTTGAACGTTGTTTTCAATTTAGACTTGTTTATATTATATACTCTAAATATCAGCACAACAATGTTAAATCTGCAAATTTGCCGAAACAAATATATATATATATATAAATATATGAAGAAAAAGAAATACTATACTGTATTATATACGGAGTTATATGTATAGGTAAATTTGCACTCAACCTTAAACAGTAACGTCCTATTGTCCAAATACATTTGCATTCTACACACCATTTGATATTTGCGATATGAACCATTGCTTGCAACTGCAATACAAGACAAGACAAATACTCAGTTTCATACGAAACTACTAATCTTGATATTTTTCTATTCCATCAATTTAACCTCCCCATTTGAAAAAGTAAAAACCATTTTTGGTTAATTGGCATATTTAATCTGATTATAGGGTAAGCGGCAGCGCAAAGAGGAAAAATCAAAATCATGACCGAGAAAAATAAACGAAAAAAAATTTACTATAACTGAAGCAGATAGAGTTATACGAAAGACATGTAAAACGGGTTGTGCCTCGATCCAAGTGTGTCGCATCCGTCCAGTTTTTGTTTAAAAAAAGATGGAATACATGCCTGATGATAAATCGTTAGACATATCTGAAGCTGTTGTCATAGAAAGGTAAACACAATTGTACTCGCCCGACAACGACAATAAACAACTTCAATT